CTCTGATGTCTGTTTTCAGAGATGATAATAGTTGTCTGATACATTTTGGTGCCCCTTCATTTGGTGAGTATATGTTAATGAGTGTTATTTCTTCTTGAATTATTGTCCTCTTGGTCATAATCTAGTGACCATCTCGGTCTCTTTTTACCTTTTTGGGTTTGAAATCTGTTTTACCTGATATAGTATAGCTGTCCCTGCCTTCTTTTTTGGTCCATTTGCTGTAGGATTGTTTTCATGCTTTTACTTTCACTTTATTTTTATCTTTTGTAGATAAATGTGTTTCCTGGAGACAGAAAAAGGTTGGGTTTTGTTTCTTTTTTTTAAGATTTATTTATTTATTTATTTATTTATTTATTTATTTATTTATTTATTTATTTATTTATTTATACAAGCACTGGGTACAGTCAGAAGCGCAGGAGGATGAGATAATTCACCAGAGCCTGTTCTGTAGGGCACACAAAAGGCAGACTGACTAAAATACACTGCTGAGGGAGCAGCGGGTGCGGCAGAAGAGATCTATTGCGCCATGTGGGACCCTTGCCAACGTCCAGGGATCAAACTGGGACTACAGAGGCTGTGGGAAGATTTGCAGCCCAAAGCACAACTGCTGTGCCACTAGGGTAGGCCCTGGGTTTTGTTTCTGAATCCAGCCTGTGACTCTGTCTTTTTTTTTTTTTTAAAGATTCTTTTTTTAAGATTTCTTTTTTTTTTTTTAAGATTTATTTATGCATACAAGAACTGGGGTACAGGCCAGAGATGCGGGGGGCTGGGGGTTGAGGGATTCACCAGAGACAGAGTAGGGAACAGAACAGGCAGACTGACTGAAATATACTGCTGAGGGGAGCAACGGGGCGAGGCAGGAGAGGTCTGCCTCGCCATGTGGGTTGCTCCCTGCCTGGCTGGGGATTGAACTCGTGCTGCAGAGGCTGTGGATTGCTTCATAGTGTGGTGCTTAACCCCTTGCGCCACCAGAGAGGCCCTTTAAAGATTTCCTTATTTATTTATACAAGCACTGTGTACAGTCAGAAGCGTGGGAGTGTGAGAGAATTCACCAGAGCCAGAGTGGGGAACAGAATAGGCAGATTGATGAAATACACTGCCAAGGGGAGCAGCAGGCGCGGCAGGAGAGGTCTGTTGCACCATATGGAACCCTCGCTGGCAGCCGGGGATCAAAGTGGTGCTACAGCCCAGCGCTCAACTGCTGTGCCACCAGGGGAAGCCCTGCGACTTTGTCTTTTTATTGAAGAATTTAGTCTGTTTATATTTACAGTTAATATTAATATGTTAGCATCTGTATTTGCCATTTTGTTTGTCTTTTCTCTAGTTTTACTTATTTTTTTAGTAATTTTTTTTTTTTTGGTCTTGTTTTGTTCCTATTCATCCCCCCCGTTGGTTCTGGCTTTAGGGCTCCTTGTATTTTTTGGAGTGAGGGTTTAGTACTAATAAAATTCTGGAGTTTCTATTTGTCTGGGAAGGTTCTTATTCTTTCTTCATAGAGAAAGGAAAACACTGCAGGATAGAGTATTCTTAGTTGGCATTTGTTGTCATGGAGTCTGTTGACTATGTCCCTCCACTCTCTCCTTGCCTGTAGTGTTTCTTCAGAGAAGTCTTATATCAACCTGTTTTCCTTTGCATGTTCTTTGTTTCTTCTCTCTTGTCATCTTCATTATTTATTCCTTGTCTTGGATTCTTGGGAGCTTTACTGTTATGTGTCCTGCTGAATTTTTCCTTTCATCTTGGAAATTTTGTGTTCTTCTTGCTTCTTGTATGTCTATTTTCGGCTCCTTCTTCATGTTTGGAAAGTGCTCTTCAATTATTCCTTTGGATATTTTCTCCATTCCTATGTCTCTCTCCTCTCCTTCTGGAATTCTTATAACTCTTTTATTTCCTTTCCTCATGGAGTCAGATAGTTCCCTAAGTCTTTCTTCATTCTTTTTCCTTTGTACTTCTTTTTCCTTTTCTGTTTTGCTTCTTTTTATTTCTGTGTCTTCAAGAGTACTTATTTGTTCTTCCATTTCATCTACTTTTCATTACTGCTTTTCCCAGAGTTCTGTAGCTCCTCCATTAATCCTTTGGTCTCCTACATTTCTTTCACTTGCCTCTTTAGGGATTCCATTTCATTCCGCTGATTGTTGATTATTTTGCCCTTATAGTTGTTTTCTTTAATGACTTATGTCAGTTTTTTAATCACAGCAATTTTAAATTCTCTTTCTGGAAGGCTCAGAAGTTCTTTCAAGTCACTGTTGTTGCATTCTGGTGGGTGATTTTCTTTTTGTCGTGTGTCTTTTCCTTGAGAACTTGCTTGGTTTTTTGTAGTTTTTCTTCTCCCTGCTGCTTGTTTTCTAATTTGTCCTATGCATTGGGACACTGTGTCTGTGGTACTGGCCAACATATTTTTGGTGTTTTCTTTCTGAGATGTTGGAAATTGATGGTGCATTCGAGTCAAATACTGTTATGCCAGAAGTCCAGTATGGCAGTGGTACTATGAATATGTTAATGGTCGCTGTCACAGAATATCTCCTCCTTCTGTATTTAATTCCAGAGGTGTGTCTTGAAGTCCCACAGGCTGCCCTGGAGGTGGGGTGGCTGGATTGCTTGCTGGGCTCCAAATCTCTGGATCCCCCTCTGGCCTCCAACTCCCTGGCAGGCGGGGCCTGGCTTTTGGGAGCCTTCAGCTTACCTCTGCTACAGGGGCATCCCTCTCTCAGTTTCAAGCAGTTTTTGAAGCAAAGATCCCTATTCTAAAATGGCAGGTCAGAAGCCACACTTACCTGCACTGAGGTCTGCCCCTGTGGTGGCTGCCCAATCCACCTCTGGTCTCTGACTGCTGCCCTGACAGGCCCTGGCATGAGGAGACCTTCAGCTCACCTCTGGCTGCGGGGGCAGCCCTCTCACAGTTTCAAGCAGCCTTGGTTGAAGCAAAGGTCCCTATTTTAAAATGGCAAGTCAGAAGTGCACTTTCCTCCACCAGCAGCTGCAGGATCAAAATATTTGAATATTAGGTCACATAGAACTCTGAAGACATTGTGTGTGTATAACTTTCTTGAGCCATCTCATTGGACTCCAGGAATGATGTATAGTTTACTAGTGTTGTGTATAGGAGACCTGCAATTTACTTTGAAATAAGTGCTGTTGACTGTCATGGAAAGGAACAGAAAGAGAGAGAAATTGAAGAAAATTGTGTAACTTTCACATTCAACAGGGTTGGAAACAGGCTACTAAAACTCAGGTACAATCATATGCTGCACTCAAAGAAAAAGGAAGGATGCTGCAGAGGGTAAATGTGTAAGTAAAGAGGGCATAATCGAGTGTAGAAACTCTTCCTTGTTCCCCAGTCTGCTAGTTTAATAAACCCTGTGGTTGTTTCTGAGTGGTCTTGCAGTTGTGCACAGAGGTCACGACTGTGACCCTTCCCCATCCTTTGCACTGCCCTTTGAACCTTTTTCATACTGTTCCTGTCTTTGGTATTGTTGGTGTTTTTTTGAATTTTTTTTAAAGATTTATTTATTTATTTATACAAGATCTGGGGTACAAACCAGATGCGTGGGAGGGTGAGAGGATTCTCCAGAGACAGAGTAGGGAACAGAACAGGCCGACTGATGAAACACACTGCTGAGGGGAGCAGCGGTCGAGACAGGAGAGGTCTGCTGCACCATATGGGAATCTTGCTGACTGGCCTGGATTGAACGGATGCTGCAGAGGCTGTAGACAGCTTTACAGTGCTGCGTTCAACCACTTGCACCACCAGGGGAGGACCCTGTTTTGAATATTTGAATAGGCTTAGAAGGCAATTTGAGCCAGTGTTTTACTCTCAAGCTTGAAAAACCTAATACTGGATTTGCTTTGCTTGATCCCCCCCAATTCCACCTGAGTCCTCCCCTTCCTCCCTACATCATGCTCTCCTTTCCCCCCTTACCTCCCTGCTACCCTTTACCTTTTCCTTCCCTTTCCACTTTCTCCCTTCTCTTTTTTTGCCTTTTAAAAAGAAACATCTGTAATTGATGCCCTGTAGCCATGATGACACTGTATTTGGAAATAACCTCTTTTCCAGTTTTACAGTTAAACATAAAGAGAAGAATGTTGTTGCATAATGGATGATAATCTAAATAAGGTTTAGGTTATTTCATTATGAGAGCTGGAACTTTTGAGAAAAGATTTTATACTTGGAGATGATCCTATAAATAGTTGAGACTTTTGGTAAAGTTAGTAGAGTATGGATATATTTTGCATGGAGTACGATGTGAACCCTTGGGGACAGGAGGGGTGAGTGCACTGTAGTAGACAGGTGTACGATTACATGCAAGTTCTAATTTAAACCTTTAAATATCTGTGTTTATAAGATAAAGCAAATATCTTTGCTTAACACGTTTTGCAGATGTGTTAAGTGAGACATGAGAAGATTACTTTGAATTATCCAGGAGGGCTCAACTTAAAAGGGTTCTTAAAAGAGGGAGGAAAGGATGTCAGAGTTAGACATGGAGTTTTGATAGTAAAAGCAAACATTAAGAGAAATGAAGATGCTATGCTTCTGGCCTTAATTTTTAAATGATTAGATGTAGACACATTGGATGTAACATCCTATTTGGGATTGATTGTCTAACTTTATCTCTTTTGTGGGTGTTTCTAACTCCTGATATTTTTCCTACCACAAATACCTACATTGCAGACTTGTTTACTGTGTTGTTATCTAATATTATAGAAGCAATAATTTCACATCTGCAGTGGAACAGGAAGATACTCTCTGTGTAAAAAAAAGGAAAAAGAATAACTCCAGCAGTATAAATTACTGTTTTGTTGCAAATCTATTTATTTGTCAATAGAAACTTAACTGATATTGCTCTTGTTTGTAAATTTAATACAGTTTTTAATCAAGAGTAAATTTCAAAATAAACTCAAATTACTGAGTATGATTATGTCAAAGTGATGAATAAATTATTTGACCTGTATCTTGTGGTATATGGTTGTATTACTAATTTTGACACCATGTTTGTAATATGCAGGCTTAGGCTGTCTTCTTGATGAAAGCAAAATTGAGGATTTGTCTCTACTCTATCAACTGTTTGGAAGGGTAGAATGTGGAGTTCAAGTACTTCTCCAGCATTGGATTGGCTATATAAAGGTACTCATTTAGAGAAGATGTCATTAAACATAAATGTACATTATTTATGACTTATTTTCTCCTTTTAATAATGTTTATGGTTTTAATTGTAGTTTTCTCTTATCTTGTTTAAGAAATGTTAACTTGAAATTCATGGAATAGATATATACCAGATTTTACTATAACTCCTTAGTCTATATGTCTGCAAACCTTTTCTCCCTCAAAAATACTTGTTTTTCTCAGGAAAGAAGCTGAGAACATTTTTTGTGTAACATTTTATTTTGTTTTCCCAGCTCACATTCTTTGTTGGATTAATAGCAGCCATAGTAATTTGTGATTGACAGACACTGTGAAAGACAAATTTGTCTTGGTCTAACAATGCGGAGGAGGCATTCTCATCTCAAGGAAGAGAGAGAGTCATCACCAGCTCTCATCTCAGCGTTTTTTTAATAATTGGCTAGATCCTAAGTGGTCAACACACATAAAAAGATACATGCCATGTTAGTTAAAGTATGTGATTCAGCGACACACATGTACATGTGTGCATAGGAATGCACCTCACACAGATCATTTGCACACAGATCATAAAGGCAGACAGGCAGAATAAAGATGAGTAGGTGGTAGGGGGCAATGGGAAAAGATAAAAGAAATGACTGCTTAATGGGAACTGGATTATCTAACAATGATTGTCTGATCATTAGCAGTGGTAAGCATTGTCACAGTTCAAGTCTAGAATATGTTAATTAATCCCAAAAGAAACGCCATTACCCATTAGAAGCTCTCTGTATCCTTTCCCTGGAACTTGTGGTGACTACTTCTCTACTTCAGTAATTTCAGTTGATGTGTCTGTTATGGATATGCCCTATAATTGGAGCCATGCATTGCACAGTCTTACTCTTTGTTTCTGGATTCCTTAGTTTAATGTGATCTTTCATCAATTTCATGGCATTCTTTTTTTCTCTTCGCTGACTGAACAGTCTGTCGTCGTGTGTCTGCTCCACCTTTTCTTCTTCATCCATTTTTCAGTGGACACACATTTGTATCAGCCCGACTTTTTGGTTCTCGCCAGTTATTTTGGATACTGCAAATAGTACTGATGCCAGCATTTATATACAAGCGTTTGCTTGATTGCCTGTTTTTAGTTAATGCTAGGCACCAGAAATGGAGTTGCTGTGTTAAGTTCTAGGAAGTGGAATTGCAGCATCGTGTTGTAACTAAGCAGTGACAAAACCTTTTCCCATAGATCTGCATCACTCTTTGTGCCCACCAACATTTGAGAAGCTCTGGTCTCAAGTTTTCTTTAAGTCTTTGGTAGTCTTGGTATAAAACCAGCTAGCCCTGGGCTTTTCTCGCTGCACGGATTTTCATGATTGGGTCAGTACTTGTTAATAAACAGATCTGTTTCCTTTTTTTCAGTTTTGTATTTAATTGATGTGTCTCAAAATGGGTCCTATCACCTAGGTTAGCCTATTTGCTGGTTTATAGTTGTTTCATAATTTCTACCAATACATTGTGCTTCCCCCATCCCAACTTCTGTAAACAATTATTCTACTGTTTCTCTGAGGTCAACTTTCTGCATCATACAGGTGTGGAAAAGTAATATATTTGTCTTTAGATTATTTCATTTAGCATAATACCATACATGTTCATGTATCTTACAAATGGGAATGCATATATATCCTTAAAAACTGGTGTTTTCACTTTCTTCAGGTAAGTGCCAAGAAGTTCTGATTTTAACTTTTCAGGAACCAAACATTTATTGTACCAATTTACATTATTCATACAAGAGCTGGGGCACAGGCCAGAGATATGGGGGTGTGAGAGGATTCACCAGAGACAAAGTGGGGAACAGAACAGGCAGACTGACTGAAACACACTGCTGAGGGGAGCAGAGGGCATGACAGGAGAGGTCTGCCACGCCATGTGGGTTGCTCCCTGGCCAGCCAGGTATCAAACTTGCGCTGCAGAGACTTTGGACCACTTCCCAGTGAGGTGCTTAACCCCTTGCACCACTAGGGAGGCCCAAGTGACTTTTTTTTTTTAATGACAGTACCATACATTTTGGATTTGAAATGAGGAAGTGTATGTCCCCAACTTTGATTTCTCGGGTATCAGGGTCATGATGAATATTAGCACTTTTTAAAAAATATGTGAGAAGTAACATTGGAATTTTGATAAGGGATGTACAATAGTGGATATTGTGAGCATTTTTAACTAACAGTTCTTCCAGTCCACTTATTTGGGTCTTTAGTTTTTTTTATCAGTGTCTTGACAGTGGTCATGGAATCGAATCTCTGCCTTTTAGGTTAAATACATTCTTTTTTTTTATTTGTTTATTTTATTTTATTTTATTTTATTTAAAGAATGTATTTATTTATTTTTTAATAGAGGCATGTTTTTTATTTATTTATTTAGTTAGTTAGTTAGTTTGTTTGTTTGTTTTGTTTATACATGCACTGGGTACAGTCAGAAGCGCGGGAGGGTGAGAGAATTCACCAGAGCCAGAGCAGGGAGCAGAGCAGGTAGAAGGACCGAAGCACACTGCTGAGGGGAGCAGCGGGCGGCAGGAGAGGTCTGCGCGCCATGTGGGACCCTCCTCCTGTGGCCGGGGAGCAGCCGGGCATAGAACCGGCGCTGCAGCCGCGGGCAGCTTCGCAACCCAGTGCTCAACCGCTGCGCCACCTGGGAGGCCCTCTTTTTTTTTAAAAAAAAGATTTTATTATTTATACAAGAACTGGGTACAGGTCCTGTGGGTGGGAGAGTGAGAGGGTTCACCAGAGACAGAGCGGGGAACAAAATAGGCAGACTGATGAAAGACACTACTGAGGGCAGCAGAGGGCAAGACAGGAGAGGCCTGCTCGCCATGTGGGTTGCTCTGAGGGTGGCGGGGATTGAACTGGCACTGCAGAGCCTACAGACAGCTTCACAGCCCTGTGCTCAACTGCCTGCACCACCAGGGAGGTGCAGGTTAAATATATTCTTTTTTTTTTTTTTAAATATTGATTTATATATTTATTTATTTGTTTGTTATTTGTTTATTTATTTATACAAGCACTGGGTACAGTCAGAAGCGTGGGAGGGTGAGAGAATTCACCAGAGCCAGAGCAGGGAGCAGAACAGGCAGAAGGACCGAAGTACACTGCTGAGGGGCGCAGTGGGCGGCACAGGAGGTCTGCGCACCATGTGGGATGCTCGCCCGGCTGCTGGGGATCGAACCAGCGCTGCAGAGGCTGCGGGCAGCTTCGCAACCCAGTGTTCAACCGCTGCAGCACCGGGGAGGCCCTAAAGCATGTTTTTAAATGAATAAAAATGGTCATATATTTTGCCTCAGTAACAGATTAGCATGTCAAAAAAAAATCTAAACCAACATTTTTTTATCCAATATTGAAGTAATTTGATAGCTTTCTTCTACAATAATGAAATTTCGTAAATATATTGACTACCCTAAACAGCATGATTCATGTGTCTTGTTAACAAAAGTTAATGTGATGAAAAGCAAACCATTTGGTAAAATCTGCAATTAATAAAATCACAGAAAAGGTATAAAAGGGAAATCTAAATAGTATTTTAGGAAAAAAATACAGAGAAAGAAAAAGTGGAGGAATTGAGGGATTTAAACATATAAAACATTAAAAATACAGAATAAATTCGTAGAAGTACTTGCATTTAACTTCATATGTACACGGATGAGCACTTCAATTAAAGCAGAACTTAACAAAATTGAAACTACACTCCAACTATTTGGGCACACTTGCTTTCCAGTCACACAAATATATTCAAGAGTAAAGGGTAGAAAGATTTATTTCACACAAATGTTGAGCAAGAAAGTGCTGCAGTCACTATGCTGTTAGACAAACCAGTCTTTGCTTCAAAAGAAAAAGAAAATATTGTGTATTTAAAAGGATCAATTCATAAAGAAGATAGAACAAAACATACCCATCTATCAATAGAACCTCACTGAAGTAAAGCTAAAATGATCAAAATGAGAGTTAAAAAAAATAAAAACTAGCTATTTATATATTTAAAAAGTACTCCTTTGTGAGTATGGGTGAATTGGTGGTAGGCCTTATGGGATATCCCAATATTGCTGCAATTAAAAAGAATAGTTGAATAAGTAAATAAAATAAATAGAATTGTGAAAAAGAAAAAAGTGAGCATAAGAACATGATGATGATACTTTAGTCACCACTTTACATAGTCAATAGAGCAGCTGGACAGAAAAACAGAACAGCAGTAATGGTGGCACAAAGTAACAAGACTAACTTTAAAACTAAACTCCAACTATTTGGACACACAAGAGTATCTTTTTAATAGCTGTGTACTATTCCATTGTGCATCTGAACACATCTTTTAATCCACTCATCTGTCCTTCTGTTGTTTCCATGACTCTGTTGTGAATTCATAGAAGTCTTACATCTTTGTGAATTAGTGTTTTCATGTTCTTCAAATAGCTACCAACCTGTAGAGTGGAATTGCTGAGTCCTTGGTAGGTGTTGTTTTTTTTTTTTTTTTTTTTAGGAATGTATAGGCCGTTTTCACGAAGAATTCCTCATTTCCCCACCATAGTGTTTGGGTGTTTCTTTTTCTCTACACTATCATCCATTTTCTGTATATTTTAAAATTACTTCCTTAATGGTTAACTGTGTGACTATAAATAACATTTATAAAAATGTACTTTTAAATAACAACAACTTAGATTGACTTGTCTGTCCTTAGGTTGAGGCACAAAAACTTTGTGCCTGTATAGTTCTGTTTCCTCCTTTTAGGTTTTTTCATCTGTTACATCTTTATATATATTTCCACATTACAGATTTATAATTTTATTTAATGCATTTGTATTTTAAAACATATGTGAAAAAATGGTAAAATTTTTGCAAGTTAACTGCTGTTATTTTTGCTTTTGAAAATATATTTATAGGTATAATTTTCTTCACTAATTTTGATTTATTGTTTGGTGTTCTTTCATTTCGGTGATAGATACTCTGTGCTATTTGTCATATAGCAGATCTGTTAGCAACAAACTATCAGTATTTGTTTACCTGATAATTTTCTAATTTTCCTTTACCTTCCTTTTTTGGGGAACCTCTTCAGTTTCCCTTTTCAGATAAAATCTTGTGGTATTTACCTCTTTGTTGTATGAATAAGCCCATTTTGGTTCTTTTTTTTTTTTTTTTGGTTTATGCATAAGATGCTCATTTCTTTTTCTTAAGTGTTCCTTTGGACATAATTTTTAATTTTCAATTCTTGAATCAAATTGGATTATTTATTAGGAGTATGTAAATGCTATTTAGTTTAGCTTTATATCACAACATAGTTAACTTTCGCTTTTGAAATTTTTCCTGACAATGAATTTGTTTTTCTCCTTGCAGGCTTTTTTATATATTTACCCCTCATTTTTCCATCACATGTTGTCTCAGTTGTTTGCTTCTAAATAATTCTCTACTCAGATAAATAATGGATTCAGTTGACCTAACTTTTAGAGTACTTTGTATTTATCTAATAATGCCTTTGTCCTTTGAGACTTACTGCATTATTGTTATTGTAGGATTTCTTGTATATGAAGTTTTAATTATTAAATTATGGTGATGTTACATGAACTAAGGTAATAACCTCAGATAATTTTTAAAGATTTATTTGTTTATGCATATAAAAACTGGGGTATAGGCCAGAGGTGTGGGGGGTGAGAGGATTCACCAGAAACAGAGTTGGGGACAGAACAGGCAGACTGACTAAAATACACTGCTGAGGGAAGCAGTGGGCAACTCAAGGGAGGTCTGCTTTTTAGCTCTTTTGCCCATTTTTTACTGAATTATTTTCTTTGTTTTTGTTGAGTCTCATCAGCTCTTTGTAGATTTTTGTGATCAGTCCTTTATTGTTAGTGTTGTGTGCAAAAGTTTTCTCCCAGTCGGTGGGGTTTCTCTTTGTTTTTGTTATTGTCTCTTTTGCTGTGCAGACGCTCTTTAATTTGATGTAGTCCCAGCTGTTTATCTTTGTCTTCACTATCACTGCTTTGGGTGATGTGTCTATAAAGGACTAGAATCAAAATAAGGGGGACAATGCAATTGTATGGGGAATATAACCTAAACAAAAATGTATATACATTGTGCAAAGATGAAAAAAGTTGTAAGAATTATATTAAATAAAATGTTTAAATAAAAAAAAATTCTGACAATTAAAAAAAAAAAAAGGAGAGGTCTGCTGTGCCATGTGTGCCATGTGGTAGCTCCCGGGCCTGGGATTGAACTGGTGCTGCAGTGGCTGCATATAGCTTCATAGGTTGCATCTTAACCCCTTCCACCACCAAAGAGGCCCCATTGTAACCTCACATAATTTTATTTTTCAGAAATTTGGCAGCAGCATAGTTGATAATCCTGATAAGGAAAAGACGATGGTGCAAGAACTTCTGGACTTCAAAGATAAGATTGATTTTATTATTGAAGCCTCTTTTATGAAGAATGAGAAGTTTATTGTTGCTATGAAAGAAGCTTTTGAATCATTTATTAACAAAAGGCCTAACAAGGCAGCTATGCTTCTAGGTATAGTTTTCATAGTGTGGTTTAAATAACACATTCTTAAATCTTTTTTTTTGTTTTCCTTTGTTTTTCAATAATATTAAACCTGTGACAGGAATGAGTTTGGACCTATTTTATCATAATGCTGCAAGTGCTTATTAGGGATTGAAAGAGGAAATATATTTTAAATTCAGTTTTTAAATGATGTTGCTCCTTTGTTTTACAAGAGGTATCACAGGGTTTTGGAAACGTCTCTTGTCTTTAGCTAGAAATTTCTGTAGTCAGTAGATAAGACTCATTAATTTTGAGATAGGTTCGCTGTGTAGTTGGGTTCTCATTTTTAAAATAAGGAAAAAAAGTCATCTGCCCACACAACTTTAGATTTTCAAAAACTTTAGATTTTCAGAAAGCTCTCTTTTTTTTGAAAGACATTTAAAACTTTAAATGAAATAGTAAATCTTGTTGTTTAAAATGAATCTGTGTGTGTGTTATCTTTGAGATTTTGGAACTTGCATAGTAAATGTCAAATTTTACATTATATAATTTTTTACAAAACACTGCATGCATGGTAGTGAGAAATTATTATTTTGTAACATTTGAACTTTGAGATTATGCAAATCTTAATGGAATATTTTTTTCTTTTGTATATCTTTTTATTCATCAATCCATGAATGACTTAGCCCATCCTTTTTTATATTTTAGCCAAATATGTGGATTCAAAACTTCGTGCAGGTAACAGAGAAGCTACTGATCAAGAACTTGAGGAATTGTTAAATAAAATAATAATTTTATTTAGGCTTATTAATGGTGAGTAATTTTTTAATGTGTCTGTTGGAAAGTTAAAAACAAAACATTCAGGAGAAATCTAAAGAAATTATCTGTACAATCCAACATGAATTGAAATTTAAATAATAGTTGCTATGATAAAATGATAACTTGAAACTTCTCATTTTAAAGATTGCAATTCAGTACAGTTCTAAGTACCTTCATGTTAGGCAGATATCACCATTATGTAATTCCAGAATGTTTTCACCCAACTGGCATTCTCTAGTAACTCTCTCCCCATACCCTTCTTGCCTTCAGTTTCTGGTACCCAGTAGGTTTTTATTTCCAGATTTGCATATTCTGGATATTTTAATATATAGGCCATCATATGGTGTGTGTCCTTTGATTTATTTTCCTTAGTGTAATGTTTTCAAGATTTATCCATATGGTAGTTTTTATCTGAATTTCCTTTCTATTTGAGATTGAACAGTAGTTCAGTGTACAGATCGCTATACCCATTTATCTCTTGGAGGGCATTTTGGTCATTTCCACCTCCTGCTTTTGTAAATGGTGTTCCTATTTATACACTTTTTAAATATTGGTGGATGTAAATAGCTCCTTTATGTGGCATGTGGCATTTTGCAGGGAAAGATGTCTTTGAAACTTTCTACAAAAAAGATCTAGCAAAACGGCTCTTACTTGATAAGAGTGCTTCAATTGATGCAGAAAAGTCAATGCTTTCCAAACTTAAACAAGGTATGTGGCTTGCCATCTTAGTAATTTTTTGGTGTTTGTGCTTTATGAATCTTGATTAAATGATTATTTGATTTCAGTGTTTCCTCTTTTTTTCCAAGTTCAAGTGAAATTTATTTTTTTGTTTTATATATTTTTATATTATTTTTCATTTTTGTGCAATGTATGCATTTTCCTCTTGGTTATAGTCCCTGTAAAATTCCCATCTCCCTTGATTTGATCCTGCTCCCATTGCCATGCCTGCAGTGTTAGCAGTGTGTTTTACTTATAAGTTTTCTTAGTGTGTTGGAAACATAGTAACTTAATGATATCACACAAAAGAATGTGCACTTGTCACTTCAACTCTGTCTTCTTGTGTTGTTTTAGATAAATTATTTAAATTTTTGTATCTAGAAATTTAGGATGGTGCTAAAATATGTATATATAAAGCATAATTATCCGCAGATATAAGTCACTTGTCTGATGAATGTAGATTACAAAAAGAAAAAGAAAAATACTGGATGGTCTCACTCATAGCAGGAATTTATAAAACCTAAATAAGAGACCAGGAAAAAGACTAATCAATACAAAGTAAAAATCAAAATCAACAAGCAACTATAAACCAGAGACACACTACGGGGGAGGGAGGGGTGGGGAAAGGAAGGACTAGAGTCAAAATAAGGGGTGGGGGAGTGCAATTGTATGGGGACTATAACCAAATGAAAATGCATACATTGTGCAAAGATGAAAAAAGATGTAAGAATTATATAAATTAAAATATTAAATTAAAAAATAAAAATAATAATAATAATAAATAATAATAATAATGTCAAATTATGAAGCTGCCCCTGGTGGTGAGTTCTATTAGGGAGAAACACAAGAACTTTTAAAGAGATTTGTTTAACCTAGTCAGGAATCAGGATGATTTCTTCTTGAAATAGATATAAAAATGCGTTTGAAATAGATACAAAAATGCAAAGAAATTCTAATGATGATAGGAACATATTCCATCGAAAAAGGAGTTTGGGAATTTGAAAAGCTGAGTCTTCAGAGTTTTCAGAGTGTAGAAATATATAGGCGCTATAGTAAAGTAAGTAAACAGGAATCAGATTTTCTTGACTGTGTGAAGACCTTATCTGGGATAATGTTGATGTCAAAGCAACAGAATTGTTTAGTTTTAAAACATGATTAGAAGTACTCAGTTGTTTTCTGAGAGATCACTTCAGCATAGAGATCACTTTGACAATGGTTTGCAAGCTGAGGGACCCCTGGATGGCAATAAAAAATATTAGATGTTTAACAGGATTCATTAGTTCAGGACACTCACAGTGATGCAGGTATTTATGAGACATGCTGAAACTCTGAAGGTGGATGATGAGAGGAGCAAATCCTTTCCAGCGAAGATGGATAGTGTTCTCATTTCAGTTGTATAATAGGTTAACAGCATCAAATCTTGTTAGCTTTTATTTTGCAAGGTTGCAGTTGAGTGTTATAGGAGTCTGCAGTTGTTTCACTAGGTGATTATTGCCAGATCAGTTCTGAAATTACCCACTTAGGTGTTCTTAGGCCTCAGTTCCTATGGCTTAAAAGCTTCAATTC